TACATAAAACTTTTCTATATATATATGTGTGTCTGTGTTTATGTATACATATATGCATACATACATACATATATACATATATATGTTAATATATATTTTAAACATGAAAGCATGAAACTTTTCAGCAAAGTCCATTCACACGATGGATAATTAGGTTTTAATAAAGAAAAGTCGACATCCGGGCACTGTACACCATGGACTTAGCTCTGATTGGCCAGGTAGCGTACGCATGCGTACTACAGTGGCGCTTAGTTAGAAACCGTTAGAGGAAATGGCGGACAGTCGGTGGAGAAATCAGGCGTTTACATCGCTTTTTGTGCGATATATGGCACCGCCGGAGTCTACGATGATGGGCAATCGTGTTTGGAGAGGCTTGAGAGTCGAGGGGAAATGCGATGTTATTCCACACGCCCGGAATAGCGACGCTACGAGCGGAGCAATCTTCGTCGCCCCCCTCCCCCTTACCCGAAGCCCGTCTGCCAGCAAAATAATTTTGACCAAACATAACGGACGGTCCTTCTAGTTCGGTAAGTGCGAGAGTACATATTAGAAGATGTATTTAAAACAAATCAGTCATGATCCTGCTCGTCTTCTTGATATGTAATCAGCAGAAGCATAGAATGCCGAACTATTAACTAGTCTAATCTGCCCCTAGGCCCTCCCTAATAATAGTCATAGATATTTTTATGGGAAAAATAAACTCATGCCGGTCAACGGTCAATAGGCATTCGTGTTGGGTTTAAGCAAGGACCATGGTTTAAGATATGAAGCATTTCTTCACAGCAAACACATAGCCAATCGTGTCGATGAAAAGAGGAAGTGATAAAAAATTATGTGATGTATTTGTTCCACACAAAATGATTGTGTTTAGGCTATTCAGCTACAGCTAATATCTGTTAATACATGTAAAAATTTAGATCAAGTTATATGTGTATTGAGGATGCTCACTTATTTCTGAGAAGTAGAACCATGTGGCACATTTTGTCACCTGTGTCATAATTTTTTTCCCTTTCTACATACCTCCAGGAGATCATATGTTCCTCCAAAATCCAGCAGAGATTGTAAGGACAGTCCGGAACAGGGCAAGGCAAAGCAGCTGCTAGAACTCAGCCTCTGAGTACCTGACTACTGCTACAGGCACCATAGGTAAGACTACAGCCCTGCATACTCATTAGTATCACCACACTTTAAATCAGTGTTCCTGAACAAATTTTAGATATAGGCACACGGGGTCAGGTACAGTACAGGTCCTGAACTGAAGGGTGCTGATACTGATAATTAGAGCTGTACAGTTTGCCACCTAATGCCACAGACTTTATTGAAGATCAACCATTATTTGATCATGGAGGAACATCTGTACACGGGTACCTAAAATTTGTTTAAGTACACACCTGATGATTAATGTCTGTATAGTATATACTGTTTGCTTTGCAAATTCTTATTAAGTTAGTCTTGACAGCATAGAATGGACAGGTCATAATCATTGTGACATGGTCCTTAGACTATAGTGATATGGCTTGATGTTTCATGATACTTTTGTATGGTTTTGCCGTACAGGACCCGACTCACCACAAGGACTCTAAACCAGCACCAAGACATCCAGCATGCAGACACAGAAGAGACATCCCCAGGGTTGGACAAGTTTTCAAAAATTCACTTGCCGTATTGGGCAAGTCCCTGGTCATTTCCACTTGCCCGAACCAACTTTTCACTTGCCCAAAATATGAAGCATTTCTATGCATTTTACTAGCAGAAATTATTTTTTAAATTATTATAATAGAGTTTAAAATGTTGGATGCTTAATTTATCAAAATTGATTGAAACTTGGTCGAAATACTGCAGGGGCTATACATGTACTTTGCATCAAAAAAATTTACTTGCCCAATCGGGCAAGTACAGGGGGATATTCACTTGCCCGAACAGTACTTTTACTTGCCCTGGGCAAGTGGGCAATGGGACTTGTCCAACCCTGATCCCTGTATCTTACCCAGAGCGTGTTGACAGCAGTGGAGTCAGATGTAGATAGGAATGGGGAGAGGATGACAACACCTTCATTTTTATACGTGATGGTTGTAATTGAGTATTGGTCACAAACCACAGGGCGCAAACTAATAAGGCCTTCATAGCCTTAGTCATAGCTGCTGACATAGCAGAATATGTAGCAAATTGTACTTCAGTTCAATTGTACAATACAGCAGTGAATATTATCTTGTAGTGATGATGATAATGGTGATACATATCACAGGTCAGTTTCCTTGTTTTATGATTCTTTGAATAGTTTGCTAAGCCTGCATGTGGCTGTTGTACAGGAGGAATCTCTAAATCTGTAGGGGGACCTATTTACAGCCTTAATCAGGGGCGTGCTCCTGTTTAAAGCCTTATTATTAGGTGCATGTCCCTTTTTAACACCTTATTTAGGGGCGCGCCCCTGTTTAAGGCTTTATTCAGGGGCGCGCCCCTGTTTAAGGCTTTATTCAGGGGCGCGCCCCTGTTTAAGGCTTTATTCAGGGGCGCGCCTCTTTTTAAAGCCTTTTTCAGGGGTGCTGATATATTTAGATTGTGTCTGCAGATATTCTGTGACGTTAAATGTCTTTCATGATAAATGCTGCATGCAATTATTTCTTGTTTAACATGATTTTCATGTTTGTAAGAAAAGGTATGTGATAAAACTATAACTTAAGTATTTGCAATGCAGCATACCTTTTAGAAATTGTTACTCCCAATGTCTCTCAATTCTATCCAATAAATATATTTGAGTTCTCCCTAAAACCCAGTTCTTGTGCTTGTAATTCATTTCTAAATGTGGGTATATGGGGGGGGAGGGTATAGTGCAAAATCATTCTGGTAAAGGCATGGCAAATCTGGTAAATCTAGTGTAAATATGGGTAAATTTGACTAAATGTCAGAAATACTACACCTGGTAAATCTCGGTAAATGTCGTAAACGCACCTGAGGAATACCCGTATGGTAAATCTCGCTAAATGCCCTCAATATATGTCAGAAATACCGCGTACGGTAAATCTTGCTAAATATACCTTTACCTGGACCTGGTAAATGTGGGTAAAGAGGATAAACATTACCCGCTTTACCATGCTGGTATACCGGTGTTATAGTTGCACATTTACCGATGGGTAAATCTCCGGTAAATCTAACCTTTACCCGGCTTTACATTACATTTACCCCTGTGGTAAATCCGACTTTTCGTGCAGTGGACGCCGCGGGTATGGGCCACATCGAAGGGAAGACCTTGCGGAGTCAATGTAAGTTGGTTGTTGTGTATTTTTGTTCACATCCGTTGTCCAGTACTACTGCATGAACGATAAGGCGTGGTGATTACAGCGCATCTTTACCTTTACAATGATAGTGCCTAAGATGTTGTGATTCTTGTAGTCATTCGGCGAAGTTTTTCAAACTCAATAAGAGCCTGCATGTCCTTTTTTGTAAAGACGTAATCAGGCATTTTTAGCCTTCGTAATCCGTAGGCCGCCGTCCAAAATCAAACGTAATTCGTAATCAGTACATTAGCCGTAATTGGTTGTTTTCATTCTACGTAAAGCGTAGGCAGTTACCTTTATGCAACGTAAAACGTAATCAGTAAAAGCAGGCGATGGCGTTTGAGAGGGCTAAAATAAAAATTTTCCAAGGAAAGTTCAATCAAAGTCGTTCCCCGCCTTACCAAATTTCATGTCGCCGCTGCTGACAAAGAAATCTGGCCCTGATCTAGATCGTCATCAGCTCTGAGAATTAAACGCAACTTGCGTAATCAGCGGCGGAAATTTTGCGTCATTCGTAATCACTACACACACCCATCCCATACAATAATTATTCAACGAAATACTCTTCAAGTTCAAGCATGGGTTTGTGGGGAAGATTGTGAACGTTTTGATATGCCCCGCTTTTTTTCTGTTGCTGCCCCCACCAACATAACGAACCATTGTATACATGTATGGCGTTTCGGATCAGAATGTGTACAGCCAGGTTGTGGCGGAGTTTGCAGAATCGTCAATGGCCCTGGCATTACGAGAGGTAATGGGATGTTTGTCAGTGATGGCATATTATTGTTTTTGATCGTCAGATCTTTCTTATCCCCTGTTTTGACAGTCTAGTCTTGTGTCAACACTAACATTACCAAGCTGCATACGCATGTTATTGTGCAAATGTCTCTTATCAGATAAGATAAATTGGCATGAAAATGCTCATAGAATAGATGTAATACACACAAATGTATATTTGTGGACAAAAATAAGAACATATGGATATGAACCAAAATTCCATTTTCTTAGGAGACGGGAATCCAGGTCATGGTTGACGGCGACGACTTTGCTGGGATCAGCGTCATGTCGGACGCCAGGCACTGCTGGCGCAAGAATGCCAAGTTCTCGGATGTGGCATTTCTTGGAGACAGGTATGCAGTTTTTCATGACAACTTACCTTGGCCCCTTTCCAAGTCCATATGGTGGCAAAACATCAAAAGACTACATCTTCACAACAGATATCAATCAATCTTTCATTTTCCAGTTGTCGTACATTAGTATGAATATGTGTATGACTCAGGCAACAATTAGATAAAGGATCTGGAACAGCTAGAATCCCCATTGGGCAAACTAAAATGCGCTTTATATATTTTTGTGACTGCTTCATGTAAATCTATGTTTTCATTTCCCAATTTATTTTTACCTTCTAGCTAATAACATTTGCTATTGTGAAATTCCCTGCCCTCCAGGACACATCGTGTGATCAAAGTGATCACAGTGTCGCGGGATGAGGAGCGCTACGCACAGAACCATGAGCTGGTGGGCACCAAAAAGTTTTACGACTGGGCGGACGAGAACGGTAAACTTCTTGAATGTCCGTTTCCTTTACCTGAAAAATACGAAATACACAGGTTGAGACTGGCACCAAGAAATGTACATGCTTTGTGTTCACAGTTCCTATGTTTGACACCGTACTGTTCGTGACAATTCTATGATTGAATAGAGTTTTTTTTTTTCAGCTGTAAACATCCTGGTGCACGCCCACGACAACAACAAGAGCATCAACAAGTTGGTGGAGGAGAGGGCAGCCCAGGGCCACCGCTGCGTCAATGGCAATGACACATAGCATGGTATGTGATGTGAAAATGCTAAACGTTTGTTCATAGATCGATATGGCCAAAGAACAATGCATTGAGGGACAGTTGTACGAGATATGATTCCCATACATGAAATTAAAATTCAAACTGCAAATATTTTTTTGTTATTCAGAAAAACAGTTTTAAATAGAAATGAAAGGATACAAAGTGACTGCGACCTCAAGTCAGACACAACTTATCACAGCCTCGAAAAATAAAGGTACTTGTAATTTGTAATCGATTCAATTGATGTCCTTCTTTCAGCCACTAAGGGTATTGCCAAGGCAATGAAGAGTATCACTACGGGGCCCAGGTACAAGGAGGGGGTGACTTGGCATCATGAGCTCACAGACAAAGGTAATGTTTTTTAGAATGGCTCTAGTGGCAGATTTTTCTTCTTTATGCAAGGACCTTGTTTTCTCTTTTTTTTTCATTTCATTTGAGAAATGTTTGTTTTGTAGCCGGATCTGTGAAGACCCACGTGTACTGGGCAATGAAGAACTGCGCTCTAGATGCAGGAAGGCTGCGGGGCTACATTGATAACATCGTCAACCACTACAAGGTAATGCAATTTCTCAGATTACTGCTTCCTTCTCAAAACTATTGATGTATTACTTCTGTTCCAACCTCAAATAGCGTAACTATTGTACAGAGTTCAAAACTTGTTCCGACTGAAAACGTTTTTGCCATCATCATCACCACCATCATTTTCGTGACCTCATTAGAACCATTCTATATCAATTAACAGAGTACACATTTTATTATTTTCGTACCCTCACCAAGAACGACCACACCGCCTGCCATCACACGTCCACCTGCAAGGTAAACGGGGACGCGTACGAGCCTAGAAAGGTGCCCATCGAGGACCCCAAGGCAGAGAAGCTGCTCCTAGACTTCCTACACACTACGGTGGTGTACAAGAACGCGGAGAACTACGTGCACGTAAGCCATCTTTGTGACTAAAATATTGGCTAAATACTGGAATAGTCATATGATCTGGCCATTACTTCGTGTATTGTAGTGTCTGTGTGATCAGCGGAACATTGAATGAATAACATATTTCTGCAATTGAGGTATTCAAATAATATGCATTTCAATACAGCAGAGTGAATGAGAGAAAAATTCAGACATACAGACAGAGAAAGAGATTGTCTATCTTGCAAATCATTCCTCATACCAAATTCCAAACCGCATCACGTATGTAACTCCCTTACCCTGGTCCGTAATAGTGCTAACGATTATTAAATGCTGATCGACTTTTTACCCTCTTCCCATAGGCCAAAGACACACACTACGTTGAATCATTCAACAATGCGCTGCTTATATATCATGACAAGCGCATATCCTTTGGGTTGGAGAGCTATCTGATGCGTATCAACCTGGCCGTTCTGGACTGGGTAAGACATGGTATTCAGTGCTTGTTGTTTTAAACAAGTCATGTTTTCTTTTTCATATTAGTAGTCACTAGGCAGTGATAGTCAGTATTGCTACCTAAAAGGATAATCACTGCAAAAAAC